ACCGAACCTTGGGGTACACCACAATTTATATCAACAATTTTAGAGAACGAACCATGAACAGAAACATACTGCAAACGATTACAGAGATATGACTTAAACCATTTAAGAGCTGTTCCACAAATTCCAAACTTTGAATACATACGATCAAGAAGAATAGTGTGATCAACAGTGTCRAAAGCTGCAGATAGATCCAGAAGAACCATAGCAACGCCAGAACGATTATCAATTTCTTTAAGGATGTCATTATGGACACGAGTCAGGGCAGTTTCACAGCTATGAAGTTGTTTATAAGCAGACTGAAGAGGTTCATGCATGTTGTTAGATGACAAATAAGCACAAAGTTGATCAGCAACAACTTTTCCAATAATTTTAGAGACAGTCTTAAGATTTGATACAGGACGGTAATTAACGAGTTTTTCATAATTTGTTTGAAATGCCTTGAATGACAGCCATCAATTGAAGAGGACTTTGTCCCTGATATCAATGATTCTTGCATCAGATAGTAGAGTAGCAAATATACTAATGATCGTAGAGAATACATCATATGTAAACTCGTGGTTTTACTATACATGTTTCAGCAATACAATTGCCATCTTCAGAAGTGCAATCAAGAAAAGAGAAAATCTGAGTCTATATATATATGTGCATATACCGTATTTATTCGTTTAGACGCCAACCCCGAATAGACACCCCCCTCAAATAAATGCCGCACCTGGGACTAAAAATATTAATAGTCGCCGCCCCTGAATAATTTATTAGAGGAAATAATAATTAATAATAAATGATAAAGGAAAAGTTAATGATATTTCAAGCTTAAACCAGCAAGGGAAATTTATTATAGTGACTGTACTATTTTGCTCTTGCGTTAAGTCTCATTTAATAAAGTGATTTTTGAATAAACGCTGCCCCCGAATAAAACGACACCCCTAAATAAATGCCGCAGCTGGACCCTGAGAAATTAAATAAACACTGCAGCGTCTAAATGAGTAAATACAGTATATAAAATATTGCATTATATGCATTAAAAATTATTACTATATAGGGACCTCAAAGTCCAACATGGTCATGAGGTCTAATTCTATAATTACTTTTTTATAGTATTTCAGTTGTCTTATAAAGTTGAAAATATTTACGGTAGAAAGCCATATGAAAATAGATACCTTTGCAATGTTGTCCTCAACATATTTAACATTCCAGGATCCAGGAGCCTTTTTGTACAGGGGCTTCTGGCTCAGTATCCCTCCTGGGGCCTTGTAGTCATGGGTTATTCCTGTGGTTGTCTTAAAGTACTCATCTTTTGGAACAAAGTCATCATTCATCAATGGAGGTGGGTAGACCTTACCAATAGTTCTCTGAAAACCAAGGTAAGAGAGATTATTGCGTGTTAATTAAGAGCTTGATATCATTTTTATTCACGAGTTTCCATGCGAGGCCATACAAGAACCATTGCCTGCCCTCTTGAAAGGTGAAAGTTCATTTAGATTTGATTATCAAGGATTTGAGTGTGTTCATGTGATTAAAAAACAGTCCTGAGGCAAAAATCTGTCATTTTTGGTGTTCTTATTTCGTTCAACATTTCGAAATATCCGAAGACAGATATTTAATAAGTTCAGGAATGCTAAGTAAATAAAGGAGTTAGAAACGAAATATCATAAATAATATCATTCTAATAGAAAGGAAAATTATCTAGATCCAGTAATTTATAAATAAAGGAGTCCAAGAAGTAAAAATAAGTAGTTAAATACGACAATTTTACGAGGAACTTACACTGAAGCCAGAAGGAGGAAAAGGATGTGTTGGTCGAACATGATGAGCAATTCCTGTCGACGTTAAGTGCAAATCATTCCTTGATTCTGTCGCCATCTCTTTGCTTGAGCTAGCAATCCTTCTCCGGAGTTTTCGGAGAGTTTGTGTGAGCTTATTTCCTGATTTTAAGATCAAGAATTCAGCTGATATTTTTCAATCAAGTCCACATGGAATTTCAACGCACTGTAAACAAACCACGCTGGCGGGAGAAACAATTGTTGCTATGACAGTCGAAAGGCTTTCTGCCTTCTGTTGCTACGGAAGCAAAAACCGCTTTCACCGCTGACCAACGGGAGAAAAAATGTTTCTAATGTTTTATTTTTGTTTCTTTTTTTGATATAAAAGTGGTTAATAAATAATAAAAAACATAGTTCGAATAGAATTCTGCTTTCGACTTTCTGCTTTCAACTTCGTAAAGACGAACAGAAATCGTGTGGAAAGATTTAGTACTTTTGTCACGCTTTTTATTTACCCTGGTCTAAAATAGCAAAAATAACCATTAAACTCGATTTTGACCAGTACCTCAATTTCTTTATCTGCTTCTTTCTCTTAAGCCAGAAAACTATGAATAATTGTTTCCTAATGTATGTTAAAAAATAGTTTCGTGACCACATGTGTTTCATATCATGCTCAGCTTCCCACACATCAGTTGAGAGGTTGAGAAGTTGACAGCTTCAAATAAATTTATTCCTTGAATACGTTATTTCGACGTTTTAACAAGAAAAAAAACCCTTTTGGGTCGTAATATAATCGTGGATGACGGAAGTTCACCACCACATGTCGGTCAAGAGCAAACTCATCAATCAATCATACACCGTCATCAACAACCTTCGCGTGACGTCATGCGTTCACTGAGCATGCGTAATGTTCCTATTGTTTAATTCTACTTGAATCCCACATGTATAAATGAGATTCTGTTTCCTCATACAAATACAGTGACAGATACATAGTAATTGTGCTTGCTCCGGCAGCACATATACTAAAATTGGAACGATACAGAGAAGATTAGCATGGCCCCTGCGCAAGGATGACACGCAAATTCGTGAAGCGTTCCAAATTTTTTCTCAAATTTTTATATCTAACGACTTTTTTCTCTTCTTTTTTGACTTAAAAACGGCATAAAATTGATTAAAAGTTTCCTCCTTAAAACTTTGTGGTAAGAAAATCATAATTGAAAGGTTATTTATGAGGATTTCATTATTTCGTTTTTAAATATTGTAAACTGAAAGTTTATGGAGAGAAAAATCAAAATTTAACTTTTCTGAGCCCGCGAAAAAGACCATTTAAGTGTCACGAAAGTGAAGTCTAGACTTGTCTTCGTTTACAAACTGCGTCTGCCCAACTCACTCACCCGACTATTCGGCTTCTAATGATTTGTAAAACTCCATATCTCCAAACAAAAAAGAAGGCAAAAATGGGTTGATAAAAATTTTAATAGTTAAGAGCGACTGTCTGTAAAAATCAAACATACGGCGGAAAGGCTCAAATTTTCGAATTCGCTCTACTTTTGGATTTTAGTAGTGC